TTTTTTTTTTTTTTTGAGACAGGGACTCACTATGTAGTTGAGACTGACCTGGGACTCACTATGTAGCCCAGGCTGGTCTTGAACTCACAGCGATCCTCCTGCCTCAGCCTTGTGAGTGCTGGGATTACAGGCATGCGCCACCACGCCCAGCCCCAGTAACTCTTTTTACAGAAATGTATTCTAGGAAATAATTCAAAATAAGCAAGATATAATATGAGGTATTAAATGAAGTACTATTTATATCAGCAGAAAGAATGTTATCAACTTAAATGTCTAACATTTGAGGAATAGTTTATTAAATTAGATTAAAATGATGCAGAGGAATATTGGTTAACCAAAACTAAGTCTGAAACTGTTCAAACAGGAAAAATGTCAATTTTTTTCACTATATATGAAATGCACAAAAATTTAAATTATAGTACAAAATATATTAGCTATTATGTATTTAAATTTTTCTCTGTTTTATACTATCTTTTTAAGATAAAAAAATTATATAAAAATGGCTGGTACAATGGCACAGCCCTGTAATCCCAGCTACTCAGGAGGCTGAAGTAGAAGGATCACAACTTTGAGATCAGCCTGGTAGAAGACTTTGTCTCAAAAAAGGGGGTGGAGGTACTGGGAAGGTAGCTTGCCCAGAATGTCCAAGGTCCTGGGTTCAACCCCCAGTACCACAAAAATACAACCAAAAATTACATAAAAATGAAGAAACTACCAATGGAATAAGAAAGTTACCCACTAATAATACCAAATAGTCAGCACATAGTCTTAAAAGGGAGGAGCAAAGCTAGCATTTACTGAGAACCTATCAGATACTGGACACTTTTGCAAGATCTCAGGCTGTTTGGGCTCCTGTAACAAATTACTACAGACCAAGGGTTTATGTAATAGAACTTTGTTTCTCACAGTTCTGGAGGATGGAAGTCTAAGATTAGTGTATTGAGATGGCTGAATTCTTCAGAGTTGCAGACTGCTTACTTCTCCCTGTGCCCTCACATTGCAGAAGGAGCAAGGGTCTTCTGAAGGCCTCCTTTTATTAAGGGTACTAATCTTGTTAATAAGGAATAAAGCCTAACAACCTAATTATTTCCCAAAAGCCCCATACTTCTTAAATCCATAATATTAGATTTCAATATGTGAATTTTGAAGAGATACCAATATTCAGACCATGATACACATTTAGCCATCATCACTCTGTGGGTATCTATTATTTTTTTTCCAATTTATGGACAAGGTTTAGAGAAGTTCAGTATAGACCTAAGTCCATATAGCAGGTAAGTAAATGAGTCAAGGTTTGAACCTAACCCTCTGATTTCAAAACTCTCCATATTGTCACATAAATGTGATTGCTCGGTATTTATAAATGTTCAGTTATTTCTGTCACCATTAGGTAGCAGCGCATTCTTCAATAAGGAATTGAAAATCATAGATCTAATCCTAGCAGGTTCTTAACCATCTGTGCGACCTAGAGAAGTAGAAATCATAAATAGGTTTTCTTATTTATGAAATAGTATGTACTATAGTTCATTGTATGAATAGCTCTTAAAACACTTAGGCAGATATGGTACTATGTATGATCACAGCAGAAGCAAGATAAATAATGTTTTTAAAAGCACTACACACATTACAAAGATAGGCAGGATCTTGTTAAAATCCTGGCAGTTTAGGCATCCCCAATCTCCTACTACCTGAAGGGCCTGGAGGCATGTCTTTCGGAAGCTGCCACTTGTGCTTCCAGTCACCACACTCATGATGGAACTCACAGCCACTGAGAGTGAGGCCTGCAATTTCTGATGAGCCTACAAAACACAAAAAGGAAACCACATTAACCCCAAACTGCTGGCTCAGAAAATCCCAAAGGGAGCAAAGATTTGAGTCACAGCAGGATGTCCCCTAACAACAGTAATCACTGTTGTTATCTTTATGTTATGACTGTAGGAATTAAAATAAAATTTTAAAATACTCTCTTCTCCTATAGAGATGACTTATTACAGATACATTAAAAAAAGATAAGCAATAAGACATTGGGTAATAAAACAGATATACTTCCTAATTTTAAAAAAAGCTTAAACTTTTGCTGTCTTAGAATGGCTTTTTCCTTAAAAGGGGACCATATATAGTAGCAGATGTGTTACCAAATGTAAGCAGGATGAGCAGGACCAAGAGGTGTATACCTTAATGCTAGCATTGCAGGAGGCTGAGGCAGAAAGGTTGCAAGTTTGAGTTCAGCTTGGGTTACACAGAAAGTGAGACCCTGTCTCAAAACAAAGATAAAAAGGTCTCGGGAAGTAGCTGAGTGGTACAGTCCCCCATGTTTGGTCCCCAATATTACAAAAACAAAAGTACACAGGATGAAGGAATTCACTAAGTCAGGTAAGAAGAAAATGTATTAGAAACTGAGCATGGTGGTGTACACCTGTAACTGCAGTACTCAGGAGGCTGGGGAGGAGAATCACTGAAAGTTCAAAAGGCCAGCCTGAACTACATAGAAAGACCCTGTCTCAAAAGAATAAAAGAGAAGAAAATATAGAATTATAAAGAATTAGGAAGATGAAGGTAAGGTAAAGTTTAATAAAACAACAGCTCCAGGATGTGTGAGAGGGTGAAGTACAGATAAAAAAGAGACCATATCAGTCATTTTTCCATATAATTTCTGTCCCTGTTTACTCAAACTCACCCAGTGGGAAGTAGGAATAAGTAAGCTAACTACAGTGACCCATCTAAGTGAAAGCCTAAGTTTCTAGGTTGGATGTAGTATTACCAGCAGAAGAAACAGCATGAGCTTTTGAGGGAAGAGGGGGTCCTGAGGCCCTGTAACTATGTACTCTCTTTTTCTTAGAAATAGGAGAATTAGGAGGATACGGAATTAGGAGGAAACTAGGAGGTTCTGATTTTCTTATTACCTTGGCAGCCTGGTCACGCTCCTCCAAAATCTGGTCCAGAGTGAAGTGAATTGAATCTTGTATCACAGTGTGGCTCTCCGTGAGGATGGCACTGAGATGAGCTGTGAGCAAAGTATGGACTCCTGAGGGGACAGAGAATGTTGATAGAGTGACAATGACTACTTCAAGAACACTGTTCATGTGCCCTAAGTCTAGGATAGAATAAGAGAAGATGCCTTTTAGAAGCCATTTCTATCTACTGACAGTTATTTTTTCAGACAACTGCCCCTCCAGCTACTTATAAACCCACCCAATTCCCATTTTCAAATAAAAGCTCAGGAAATTTAAAATGAAGAATTATATTATTTTTTGAAGAAATGAATGAGTGATCCTAATTCATGCTATAAACAAAAATATGGGAGACGCCCAAAGGAGAGGAGGAGTGAGGAAACCCCTCCAGGAAAGTGTCTTATCTGCCTCCCTTCCTGCTTGAGAATCACTGTTCAGCAAGTCACTGTTACCAGACTGTGTCCTTTCTTTGAGATGTGCTATGGTAAAGAAAAGCTTAAAACTTACAAAGTTAACTCTCAGAAATGTTCGTACAAAGTCTTCTAAATGGGTAATAATCTAAGCACCCCTGCTCAGCACCGCTCAGAAAAGCTGATGTGTAAGAGCAATGGGCAAAAAAATATGTCATCAAATAGGTTCACATTTAATGATCCTGATGTAACAGGGAGACAAACTCGCTTCACGGGGGATGGGGAGTCTGGAGAAAATGCTTTTTTTTTTCTTCAGTACAGTACTCAGGATTGAATCCAGGGTCTTAACACTGAGCTACATCCCAACCCTTTTTTTGAGTCAGGGTCTCACTAAGTTGCTAAATTGCCCAGGCTGAGCTTAAACTTGCAAGTCCTTGCCTCTGCCTCCCGGAGTGCTAGGATTACAAAAGTGCAACAACCACACCTGGCAAGAAAATGCTTCTAAATGAATTTTTCTGTTTTCAGCATTTCTCTCCTCCCCTCCGCTCCCCTCCCTTCTTTTCTTCCCCTCTCCTCTCCTCTAGATAGTCTGTTCAAAGGTATCATGGTAAAGCAGCCTGAGATTGGCTGACTGGCTTTTCTTAGGATTGCATTAAAAATACAAGACAGAAGGAATGTTTCCTACCACAAGGCACTACGATGAAGAGAAAGTTATGTGTGGAGTTAAAAGGAGTCTGAAACTAAAGGTGGGAGAACACACAGTCAAATTTTACTAATAACCAGTGCTGATCAGGTCACTTCATTTTTCTCATTTCAATAAAGAAAATGGCTTTATACTTCCTCTCTCAGCTGTACTGTATAGAAAAACTTGGAAAATATAAATGAAATGTATTGAAATGTACACGCAATATTCATATGGGAAATACTGCTATTACCAAGATAATATAGCATGTGGATTACTATTTTCTACAGTTTGGTTCTAAAAAGAGCCTCAAAAAATCCGACCCTTTTGAAAGCTGACATTTAATTAAAAAGTCAAAGTTCATTCCTAAAATAGCTGATAACACCAGATGCTTTTGACACTGTAGCAAAAGAATGAGTTAATCATACAAAGTTACCATGACAAGGTGGGCAGAAGGCCAATTAAATGATTTTTTAAAAAGACACAGAAACAGACTGTAGTTCTGCACAATCTGTTTCCTAAAGAAGCTCTGGAGAAAGCTTTCAAGGATATGAAAAAGAAGGAGAAAGACAAGGTAAAATTATTGTAGCTCTATCTACCTCCCTTACTGCGTATCTTTTTCCTAGGCTGGTTCTAAACTACCATATATGAGATTTTAAAATATATTTTCTGTGTTTACTAAAGCAGTGACAAATTTCTTTTTAATCCAATACTGAGCACAAATGCAGAGACACTGAAGGCTGAGGCAAGCTAAACACAGGTATATAAATTATCACAGTGATACAAGGATTATATAAGTAATACAGTTTCTGAGAAATCTCAGTCCTTAAGGTATTCTCAATAGGCCTCAGAACACAATATCAGACTTCAATTATCCTAGGGTTATCCTAGACTTTTTTGTTTGTTTGTTTGTTTGTTTGTTTAGTTTGGGGTACTGAGGCTTGAACTCAGGTCCTTGTGCTTGCGAGGCAGGTGGCGGAACCACTGAGCTAAATCCCCGGGCCCTTTAGACATTTTTTTTTAATGCCAGAAAGTAACAGATCTTAAGTCTCAAGAGGATCTTTAGCCTTGGAAAGGATCTCTGATATCACTGTCTAATAATTTCATGTTAAAGACATGAAAGGGAAAGTTCAGATAATTTATGTGATTTTCTTCCCAAATATTACTCAGGAAGTAAGTATCTGAGCTAAAATTAAACCCAGATATTTTGATTGTAACCTGCAGTCCTCTCCACAAAACTAAACTGCTTCTCTTATCAACCTCTGTCTTTATGTGCATAGGCCAGTTGACAGCCTCAGGAATCCTCAGCTGAGCCCTACTTCTGAAGCCTCTTCAGCCTGGGTGTCTTCTACTTCTCATTGCCTTTGCCTTGATCAGTGGAGCAGGGGCACCAAAGAACACTGTCTCCCCACGTTGCAAGCCTGTGCCAGGAAAGCTGTGCTTATCTCTCACAGTAGGCATGCATGCACTGGGAAAAGGTGGAAGAGGCCTGAAAGGTAGACAGCAGAAGAATCTCACAAATGACAGTAACAAATAATGGGTACCAGTCAATGTGAGCATGTCTGATCTGGGGTTCTAAGTGGTCTTGTTTCTCTCCAGACACAGTGGGAATAGCACCATACCAAAGAGCAACAGAATGTTTGGAGGACAGCGTACTGTGAAAGCACACAGAAAATGGAGCATCAAAAGGGAGGCTTATGAACTTTTCTCCAAATATGCATGAAATCCATTTTGTCTAACTTCCCTCAATACTTAGATACTAAGAAACTCTTAAATTTTGTCCCAGGGCTAACTGGATTAAAATACATAAACCAGCCAGGCATGTTAGTGTATTCTTGTAATCCCAGCACTCTGGTAGGCTGAGACAGGAGGATTACAAATTTGACCTCAACCTGGACAACTAAGCAACTTAGTGAAACCCTGTTTCAAAATAAAAATTTTTCTAAGAGGGCTGGTGATGAAGCTCAGTGTGAAGATGTTGGGTTCAATCAATCCCTAGTACCACAGAGAGAAGATGTTTAGAAATGAAGGAAAGAAAATGCCTAAGCCAACTCACACTCACACTTAGTGGTTTCCAAATTTTACTGTATTTAAAAATCACTTGAAAATCTTGTTAAAAATGTGGATTCTTAAGACATACCAGATTTTTCACTTTATAGCAAAATAATGAATTAATCTTGGCTCAGAAAACTATACATTTCCAAGTAATTTAGTGATTCTAATGCAAGTGTTTTATGGACTACAAACTGAAACCACTGCTTTACCTCTAACAGAGAGAACCTTTCTGATAACAGGTTACCAGTTATCTAAAAGATTCATTCCAATACTTCCCCACTTGTGGGCCTGTACAAAGTCAGGCTACATTTATTTTTTCTTCTTTTCCTTTTATTTATTTTTTCTTCCTTGTAGCACTGGTAGTTAAACTCTGAATTACATCTCCAGCTTGGACTCTTGAGCTCACAATCCTCCTGCCCCAGCCTCCCAAGAAGCTGGGATTACAGGCATGCACTACCATACCCAACATCAGGCTACATTTATTGATATCTAGAAAGGCAGTATAGTATAGTAAAAAATTCTCAAGCCCAGCTCCACATGAGAATCTCCTAGGAAGATTATGGGTGTATGTATTTATTTAATGTTATTGGAGATTGAATCTGGGCCCGCACACTGAGCTACATTACCAGTCTTTTTTTTTTTTTGAGACAAGATCTTTCTAAGTCACTAAGTTGCCCAGGCTGGGCTGGAATTTTCCATCCATCTTTCTGCCTGAGCCTCCCAGAGTGCTGAGATTATGAGTGTGTTCCACTGAACTTGCCATCACCTGGGAAACTAAAAACATATGAGGGGGGGTATATACTCAGTAGATGTGTATGCTTAGCATGTACAAGGCCCTGAATTTTATTCCCAGCACCAAAAAAAAGAAAAGTACTGAGATCTAATCCTCATCTCTGAGAATCTGGTTTGGGTATTTTTAGAAGCTCTAATAAGGCTGAGGGATACTGATCTAAGGTAAGATAACTCCCTATGGGAAGTGTCTGTTGACTTCTGGCCAATCAAATCTGGGAACAATCATCACTGAAGTGGATGTATCGACATATAGATCTTTTCTGTAGCGAATATAATTTCACTTAAGCAAGGGTTTTTTAAATTAAATTCTTTATTCTAAATGTATCTAATTCAAATATATGCCTTGTATATTTGTCTTCCTCTGTCCTCTGTATTTGGCACACCCAAACTGGCAGCCCCACTCTCCTCTACTTACCCCAAATCTCCATTTGCTGGACTGGAAATCCACTATGGAAATCCACAAAGAGGAAAAGCAGCAGAGTTTGTCCCTGAAGATGCATAATCTGAGACTGACCCCTCTCACTGGATTCCACCTGATAACTCACATCTGGAAGCACCAAATCTAGAAGACAAGATATTATACAAATTTATAAGGTAAGTAAAGTCGCCACAAACAAAAAAAGGATCTGAGAATAGGAGATCTAAAAAAACTATATCACAAACAAAAGAGGTTCTGAGAATAGAAGACCTATATTTGAAAACTCAATTCCACTCTTGAACTTGTTTCTCAGTCCACATGATGGTAAGCAAATAATAACGACTTACAGGAAGAACATGAAAATAATGACTGGTTGTGTGAAATGAAAGTCAAAAACTGGGAAAGATTACACAATAAGTTCATTTATTCCTAGTGCAACTTTCTAAGGCAGGCATGGCTGGTAAGAGGCAGAGGTCAGATTAAAATCTAAGTAAAGAAAATAGTAACTTACATCTGATTGTAACTAACTTGTGCTACACACCAAGTACTATATTAAATTATTTGCATGTACTATGTCACTATTTTTTTTTCTTTTTAGTACATCGAACTCTGCACCTTGTGCCTTCCAAGGCGGGTGGTGGAACCACTGAGCTAAATCCCCGGCTCTTATGTCACTATTTAGACTTCACAACACTCTTGGGTAAGAACTATTCTGATGCACTTTTACAGAGAAGAGCACAGGCCTTGCCCAATGTGAGTTAGTAAGTGACAGAAGTGAGTTGCAGACTGACTTCAAATCTACACTGTAGGGCTGGGGATTTAGCTCAGTAGTACCACCACCTGCCTCACAAGTGCAAGGTCCCAAGTTCGATCCCCAGTACCAAACCCCCCCCAAAACAAAAACTATACTCTGAATTCCAAAACCATAAAATATTCATATTCCCAAATACAGTGGCACCTCATTCCACAAACTTAATTTGTTCTATGATATTGGAAAAGATGACCACGTTTGTTTGTGTGGGAAAGATGGCCACAGTCATGTTTGTCACCTGATGCAGTTTGCAAACAAAAACAAAATTTCTCCAACTGCTTCTGTTTGCAAACCAAACTGTTTGCAAACAGAAGCATTCAAGAACCAAGGTACCATTGTAATCCAAAACCCTAAGACCACTTTCCACCAGCTTGATCTTTTATAATGTAAGCGGCAAAGTCCCACATTCTACATCCATACAGAGAAGTACCTCCATGTGGATCTGGTTCTGTCCTTTAGAGAAGTGAAGGAGGAAGTGAAGGAGTCATTTTCTACATTATTCATTTCCAAAGTTAATTGAGCTAGCCCAGGTGTCATGAATTGTAAAACCATAAAGAAAACCAATAAAGTCTAAACATAAATATGAAAAAGATAAAGAGCTATGGAGATGCCTAGAAATTTTCCTAGGTTATCCTGCTATTCAAAATCCTGATGGCATGTCATCCCATCAGTTAAGACCAAACATCCTTTCCTCACAAAACTACTTACATGTCCAGAAACCTTGAAGATGTCTCCTCTTATGCTCATTCTCTGGAAAACTAGTCACTCAAGAAAAAAGAACCTTATCTGGAGGCTTACTTCCTAGGTTACAGATTCTGTCACTTCCCCTGAGACACTGTCTTTAGTCTTCTCATACCAATCACAACCCCAAAATATCTCTTTCCTACTGGTCATCTTCCTCAGAGTCCAAATGACCAGAACATCTCATCTCCCAGTTCAAAGTTTCTAGCTAACAACAGTCAAGCTCAGGACTATAAACCTCCAGGACATTCAGCCCATGGTTGTACAGTCCTGTTTCCCACTTCTATTTATTGGTCTAATTATTAATAATCAAACTTTTAGCATTACTCACCAAAAGCCAATGTGCTTAGCTTTGCATAAATAATATAGCCAGCTTCCTAGGTTTCCTAGGTTTATATCTGGCATTTATGTTGTGTTTTTTTTTAAGTAATTTTAGGTGGGTTTGCCCCCTTTTTTAGGAAGCATTCCTCTTCCATAACAGTTCAGGAGAACCATTGCTCCTATGCCTTTCTAAAGCCCCCAAGCTGACAGACAGGTACTATATGAGCTCTCTGCCCCAGGCATGGAGACACATGCCTGTAATCCCAGAACTTGGGAAGCTAAAGCAGGAGGATTGCCCTAAATCTGAGGCCAGCTTAGGTTATATAGTAAGTTTAAGATCACCCTGTCTTGAGCAGACCCTGTCGTTCAAGAGAGATCCTGTCTAAAAAAATGTTAAAAAAAAAAAAAAACAAACAAACTCTGAACAAGTCCCTAGAAGGAACAGGAATGTGGGTGGGGGGACAGCAGAAGTAAGGGAAGACTCCACATCAAGCAGCAAGGCCAAAACAGTCAGGTTGTGATTGGTCTTTGCCTGTTTGATGAATTTGCCTCATTCCTAGTAGGCTCTCAAATTTGGTCAGACCACACCCCTGATCCAGCCCTCAGTCAAATCACTGGGTCCTATTTCTCTACACATTTCTCTAATATTCTTCAAGTTTCTGCATTTCTGTGCAAAGAGGAGATATACCTTTATCCAAATTGAGATCCAGATTGGGCACCACACACAAGTGATATTTCTTCCAGTCAATGAAATAAAAGGTATCCTTGAAGACAGTGGTACTTAGCTGGTCCTCATTTGACAATATAAGAGGCAGACCTGAAGGTCCATATAGAAATATGTATAGTTGCTAAAGAAAACTGCCAAATTTTAGTTTCTTATGACTATATATTCACTTGTATAAAACAAACACACTATTCTGGTTCATGCTCCTGGAAATAAACACATGTGCTATGCTATTGCTTATTAAGCCTTTCCCACACTGAAGACAGGCATGAAGCACCAGAGACAAATCCAGTAGGATCCTCAGAGGTTTGTTCAGGTTTAATGAATGGGAGCTACAGGTAAATTATTAGGACAGTTTGTTTGTTCGTGCTATTCATCAGATCATAGATCTGATCACTGGCTCTACAGGATAAACACGGTGCTAAATTCTTGGGGGTACAAAGATGAATATCCATATTTGACATCTATTTTCAAGTTAGCATATTAATAGTGTCTTAGTTACTTTCTCATCGCTGAGACACAATATCCAATACCCACAATTTAAGGAAGGAGAGGTTTATTTTGGCTCACAGTTTGTAGACGTTTCAGTCCATAGTTGGCTGGCTCCAAGGCAGGACAGCATTGCAGAGGCACATGGCAGAGGAGGCTCACTTACGGCATGGCAGTGAAGCAGAGAGTGATCAAGAAGGGAAAGAGACTCTGCCAGGCCACACAATGACCCACCTCCTTCAACCCGCATCACATTTAGTTATAAACTCATCAGTGGATTAATGCATTGATGAGTATTATACACCCATAATCCCATCACCTCCCAAAAGCCCCATCTATGAACATATGGGGCTTTGGGGGAACATATATATAAATCATAACATACAGTCCAGGAAAGGGACATAAGCAGCTTAATGGGCAATACAATGTGGTACACATTAGAATATAAATATATACAAGTATTTTCTGGTGAATACATTTAGATTGAGAAGGAAATTTCCTCTCCTATTCTCCAACCAAGAAAAAGGAAGGCAGGCCCCTAAAATGATTTCCTTCACTGGACTTCCCCCTCTTATTCTTACCTCCAAATCAAGGTTTCTCAACATAATACTGACACTTTGGGCCACATAATTCCTGTGGTGGTGGTGGTGGTGCGGTGTCCTGTGCCTTTTAGAATGTTAAGCAACATCCCTGACCTCTACCATCTAGATGCCAATAGCACTCCCCTGACGACCCTCTCCATGACAAAAATGTCTCTAGATATTGCCAAATGTCCAAATATCCACAGAGGGAAAAAATTCCTCCATTAAGAACCACAGCCTGAGGCTGGGATATAGCTCAGTGCATTTGCCTAGCATCCTTAAGTTTGATCCCCAACACTAAAGAAACAAGAACAATAATCTAACCTGTTTTTGTTCTCTCAACCAAAGCTAAAAAGATCAGAATTCTTTCTCTGTGTTTTGTTTTAGGCAGTTTCTATGTTGTTTTCATCTTTTCCTTGATGAATGAACACAAGACATTAAGCATAAAGATTAAAATTCTTACCCAGCAGGCACTGGGGCACTGTGGAAAATCAAAGCAGAACAAAAGAGAGGCAGCATCCATAAATGAAATCTCCTTTACAAATCTCAGAAGGCATTAACGCATCAATGAAAACCCTCACACTGACACTCTGCAGTGGTGGCAAACCTATGGTATGCATGCTATTTTTAAGACAAAATATATTAATGTATAAGTTTTTTTTTCTAAACTAAAACCTCAGTATTCAGGTTTAAGGACAGTGTTGGCACTTTGCGAAAATAAGTGGGTTTGGGGTTGCAATTTAGGCATTTGTCTCCAAAAGGTTCATTATCACTGGGCTCAGGGATTATCAAGATGCTGTGAATTTATGGTAAGAATAGAAGTGTGAAGAGCAAAACTGTGATTATCTCTTAACTGGGTTGTTTAAACCATTTACATTTAATATGAATACTGCCACATTTGGGTTTAAATGCATCCCCTTGTTATCTTTTTTCTATTCATTTGTTCCTAGTATTCTTTGTTTCCCATCTCCTCTTTTCTATTTTTGGATTCTGTTTTGAACTGGGTATTTTTTATAATTCCATTTTATCTTCTTTTTGGCACAAAAGTCATAACTCCATTGTAAAAGCTTAGGAACTATTTTTAAGTTTTACAGTGTACAATTTTAACTTATCACAGTCTACTTTTAAGTGACATTGTAATGATTCGCATATAAGAATCCAACAATTCTCTCCCCCCCACACCTTGGTCTTGTGCTATTATTCTCACTCATTATACTTCTACATAGATTATAAATCTTATAAATCGTTACTTTTTACTTTAAACAATTACCTTTCAAAGACTTGTTTAAAAGGACCACTTTGTTACTTTCTGTGCTTGTGTGTGTGTGTGTGTGTGTGTGTGTGTAGGTAGATCCAGAATTCTGTTTAGTATCATTTTCTTTCTATCCAATACATTTCTCTTAAACTTTCTCATAATACAGACTACTTGCTGTGATGAATTCATTCGTCTTTTCAATGTTCATGAAAGTCTCCATCTTGCCTTCATTTTGGAAAAGTATTTTCAATGGGTATAGAATTTCAAATTGACGGGATTATTTTCAGTACTTGAAAAATATTGCTCCATTTTCTTTTAGCTAACAATCTTTCTAACAAAAAATCTGCTTGTGCATCTTTATGTATCTTTTATTTGAGGCTACTTTTAAGTTTTTGTTCATTACAGCTTTCAGCAATTTGGTTATGATGTGTCCTGGTACAATTTTCTTCATGCTTCTTTTTTTTTTCCTCATTGAGTTTATTGGTACATTTTAGTTATACAGTACAGTTACATTCATCATTGGGATCTTGTACCTTTACATGACAGGTCTTGGTTCTCATTTTTTCCCCTTACCCCTGCCCTCCCTTTCCTTCATGCTTCTTAAACTTAGGGTTCACTGACCATAGATCTGCAAGCTTACAGTCTTTGCCAAATGTTGAGTGCATTATTCTTCAAATATTTTATCTTCCCTTTCTCTCTTTAGGACTCCAATTACATAGCCACGAAGAAGGCTACCTGGAGTTATCCCAAAGTTCACTGGAGCTTTGTCTATTTTTAAGAAGTCTTTCCCCCATGTTTTGTTTTAGATAGCTTCTATTGCTGTCTTCATGTTCACTAATTGTTTTACAATGTGTAAATCTGCCATTAAACTTAACCTGTGTATTTTCATCCTAAAAAATAGTGCTTTTTAATCTGTAGAAGTTCAATTTGGGTCTTTTTTCTCCCTTTCCCTAGCTCCTTTGATGCTTTTATGATGGTTCAATCTATCTTCCAGATTTTTTCTTCAATGGGAATATTGGTCTGAAACACCTAGTTTGCCATCTGCAGAAATCCCACCACAGTTTTCACAGATAACATTCTCTTTATTAAAACCTCACTTCTTCAGAGTCATTATTAACCAAATTTAAATAATATCCTCATCATTCTCTACCTCATCATTTGCTTTATTTATCTCACTTCACATCACTATTTAATATCTACTACTAAAATGTAAAACTGACAGAATAGACTTTTTTTCTTATTGCTTCTAGAGAATGGAACGACGAGGAATAAGAACCCTTATTTTTAGACTTGTCTGTGCTATCTAGATATAAGAAAAGTCATGTTTTAAAATATAAAATGCCCATACAGTCTTTATCTCCATCTTATTCCTCCATCCTCCCTGAAAGATATTCTTAGCAGATATCTATCACACCATGTTTCTTCTGTTCTTATTCTTTATTTCTTTCTTTTTTGGCAGTGCTGGGGATTGAACCCCGGGTTTCATGCATGCAAGGCAAGTGTTCAAATGCTGAGCTATATCTCCACTCCCTGTTCTTGTTCTTTATTTACTTTCATAAATTAATTATTCCCTATAGCCTCAAATATATAATAATTAACTCTATCAAGCATGTATATATCAGGCAGTATTTCAGAGACTTCATATGGATTTTTATATTTCTAAAAGCAAACACACCTGTAAAGAACACACAAACACAAACATCTGAGAGGGAAAAATAAACAAACATAAAATACTACTATTCCCACTGTAAAGCTGAGAGGTAAAGGCTGGTCAAGTACATTGCCTACACTCACACAGATCATTACAACATTTACAATCCTGTGCCATGCTCTTTTATAGCACTATACTACATTTACCTGTGGGATAAAAACTGAAAGTCTAAAAATCTGTACCTCTGCATCTGACCACTTCCAAGTTGCCAACTTATCTATATAGCTGCTTGCCTTCTTCAAAGGATATCTTGCAGGCACCATTAACTCAACATGTCTAAGCCAAACTCATCTTATACATCCCTCAAATCTACTATTAATGTTTTGTGTCCTGCTGACAGAATCATTACTTTGTCAGACATCTGTATAGATCTTTTTTTAACAGCTTTAAAGCTGTTAGACAATATTCACATACCATACACTTCACCCATTTTAAATGTATAAATTTATTTAAGTATAAAGACTTGCATAACCATCCCCGCCATCAATTTTAGAACATTTTCATTTTTAAAAGATTTCCCCACTACTTTTTACATCTATAGACTGCTCTATTCTAGTCATAGAAATTCCCCCTCCCCACCCTCGTACTGGGAATTGAACTCAGGACTTTGCACTTGCCAGGCAGGTGCAGAGCCACTGAGCTAAATCCCAGCCCAGAAATCCTTTTCTTTTCTTTGTTTTTGTTTTTTTATTGTTGTTGCTTTTTTTTTTTTTTTTTTTTTTTTTTGGTACCAGGGATTGAACTCAGGACCTTGTGCTTGTGAGGCAGGTGGCACAACCACTGAGCTAAATCCTCAGCCCTGCTTTGTTTTGTTTTTTTGAGACAGGGTCTTGCTATGTAGCCCAGTCTGCCCTTGAATTCTTGGGGGTCATCCTGCTTAAGTACTGAGATTACCACCCCACCCGGCCTGGAGGTAGAAATTTTGACATCAATTTTAGCCATTCCCTGCCCTTATCTCTTCCAACCGCAGTAACAAATTGGCTACTTCATAACATTGATTACTTACAGTAATTTATGTTTTGCCTTTCCTGCTAACCAGTTTTAATCCAAGCATTCATTAACTCTTAACCCAGTTCATTCACTTAGTAATTCCTAACTTCTTGCTCCCATCCACCCTGCCCAATGCTACTAGAGACTCTTTTCAACCATTCAATAGTTTCCCATTACACAGAGAATAAAGGTGACACTATTTAATATGACATTCAACATCTATCACATTCAACTCCCACTACTTGTCTCATCTCTCCTGCATACTTCGGTCATACTGGTTTATATGAAAAATGCATGACACGTGTGTCACATTTTATAGTTATTAGTTCCCTGGCAATATTTTCAATCTTAGTGCTCACACTGGATTACATGTTTTTATACAAATCATATATGCTTCTAGATAAATAATTCATATATATAAAGTTGGTATATAAAAATATATCTTCAAAAGGTAATTGGATGGGACATATCATCAAAAGGATATGGAAACAGATGAAATCCTGCTCAGCTGGCTGGAAAAGACCTTTGGGCTGGGGCACAGAGCAGCAGCTGGAGTCATTATCAAGTTTCCCAATAAGTCCATGCCAGCCACATCTTCAGGAATTAAAAGCGTTACTGGATGTCCTAGCACAGGGTGGATTCTGCTGCAGTGTGATTCAGCTGTACTGAATTTTAGTCTACTGTCAGAAAATAGATGAGACAAATTTAACTTTTTTTTTCCTCTTAAGAAATTATTTAAAAGGACATTCAAAATTCTTTTTATAACATCTGGCATATGCATAACCATGTAACCTACAATTTCAGTTTTAGCAGCATAAGTAACTTCTGTCTCACTTAGAGAATCTCAGCAGTGGGAACGAAAAGAAAAATTGGCATTTCAGTGATGACATCATGGCTCTTGCTTTTGCTATTGCTAATGGCAGTTTCTTATTCTCAACAGTGTATTTTCTCCACTAAAGTCACTCTATAGTTCTGAGCAGATATTTACAAGATCATTCAAAGATCAACATTGTGTCTATGAATGGGGTCTATGATTCACAAATGGCCTAAAACTGGCCATGATACTTAAAAGTCTGCTCTACACCTCCCCCTGCATAGGTCTGAGGTTACTGCTTGGTAGGAGCAAGGAAAAACAACTAGGCTTCCTTTCCTAGAAAAAAAAATGTAGTGAAATTTTGTGTCTGATTATTTTCCTAAAGCTCTTTTCTAAGCAGAGAAGAGATACTAATAAACGTTTTCCTCTCCCTCTAAACTACTCAGATCAAAAAAGGAAACATGTCCACAAACACTGGCTCAGAGGCTTAAATCCTTGATAGGAAAGCTATGATAATGCACTGTCCACCTCTAAAGACTGGATGATACTATAGGATTATTAAAGAAAGATATGGGGTAGGGTTTTGTTGTCTGTATATTAAAGAATAAAACCAGCCATCCCTTTTCTGGGTGTCTTTCCAAAAGAATTAAAAGAATCATATCACAGTGATATATGCGCACCTATATTTATAGCGGCACAGTTTGTAATAGCTAAAACTTGGAAACAGTCCATTTGCCTATCAGTTGGAAACTGGATAAAGAAGATGTGGTTTTTCTATAAAATGGAATAGTATGCAGCCATAAAGAACAAGAAATTAGAGTTCAATCCCCAGTACCAAAAAAAAAAAAAAATGAGAAATTAGATTCATTCATAGGAAAATGGATACATTGAGGATATACTCCTAAGTGAAATAAATAAGTCACACGTGTAAATACCAAATAGCTTCTTTGGTTTGAAAAACTATAATAGTACATAAGATCCTAATGATATAATTGACAATGTGAAATAGGAAGAAAAGGGCTAAAGGTGTAGGGAAAGTGGGAAGGGTAGGGGAAAGGTAATAAGGGAAAAGAAAAAATATGAGAAAAATGAAAAAATGGAAATAAAGTGTTTGTAAATGGGGAGGGTAGGAGGGGGTGAAGGGAGGGCAGGGACAAAGGGGAAAATGAGCACCAAGACCTGTCAGGTAAAGGTACAAGATCCCAATGATGAATGTAACTATACTGTATACCTGAAATGTACCAATAAACTCAATGAGAGAAAAAAAAAGAATTAAAAAATGCTCTCATCTGAGGTGTCATTTTGGACAAGAGTAAGAAAACAGACCAAAAACCCATGGGCAGTCTCTTTAAGGATTAAGATCCTATGACTACCAGTATTGGCTCAGGGCATAAAAACTAAAGCAGAATCTTCTATATACAGAATAAATTAGATTTAAGCATATATTAGATCTTCCCTTGAAATGATTTATGCTCTCTTTGGACTCTGAGGAGCTGAATGGCAAAGGAAGGCAAGGCAGTGGGCTCTTTCTGCTCAAATTATTTATCATGTCCTTCATGGACTTACGTTTTTGGAGTCTAAAGAAGGCTGAGGTAGGACAGAAATGATTTTCAAACCTATGCAACATTGATGCAACAAAAATAATATAAAACAAATACCAGTGGATTCATATTATCTCTCTAGTCAAGAGTTAAGTAAACTTAAAAATTCACATTCTCTCTTATGTCTACATGGTACTAGAACTAGCAAGATTTGTTTCATTTCATTTGTTTCATTTCATTTACATAAGAAAACAAGGCCTGGAGAGAAGAAGAAATATATCCTCAGGTCATCTAGCATATATTCAAGGAGCCAGGAATAATAATAATGTTTAACATAAATAACTTAAAAGATTTATTTTTGCTTTTCTTATAAAGAAGTTGAATGAGCTGGATGTGGTGGTGCATACTTTGTAATCCCAGCACTTGGGAATCTGAGGCAAGAGGATTGCCATAAATTTGAGGTCAGCCTGGGCTACACAGTTCAAGGTCTCAAATAGACAAAAAAGAAAAAGAAAAAAAAGGAGACAGGGAGATGGAGAAGAGAAGGAAGGGAGGGAGGGAGGAGGGAAGAGGGAGGGAGATAAATGAAGGAAGGAAAAAGGAAGGAGAAAAAAAGAAAGCGAGAAAGGGGAAGAAAGAAAGAAGGAAGGAAAGAAAGAAAAAAGAAAAGAAGGGAAAGGAAGGAAGCTGAAACCTGATATGTAGAATTACAAGGGTAACTGTGTGTGGTGCACACACACCTATAGTCCCAGCTTCTCGGGAGACTGAGGCAGGAGGATCACTTCAGCCCCAGAATTTGAGACAAGCCTGGGCAACATAGTGAGACCTCATCTCAAAATTATAATAATAATTTTAATATATTAAAAATATTATATTGTAATAGTTATTATGTAAAAAATAAGGGAGACCATTTCCAATTTCTATCACATTCATACTCATAATAAAAGAATAAAACATGGAGAGAGATAATGCTTTTGCTTTAACCTCACATAATGCTGACAGTTTACGACAATAGTAATTCCATTCGACAGGTTCAAAGTGGGTTCATTTTCCATCCTGCAAACAAAGAAACAAACAAACAAAAAAAAGCTAAGCCATTTCCAAACCAATCTCTCTTTGATACAAATTTTGACCCATGACTTCTCCCACCCCAGAAATCACTGGGAATTCAGTGATGAAACAAACAATAGGAAAATGGCAATTTTTAAATTTACCCCCTCTAGTGAAGGAGGAAAACATAAGATTTAGAGGAGTCTACTTACTGGTTAATGGCTATTACACAATACGAAAATGTGAGGGTCTTGTAAAATTAGTTTCAAGATGACTTTAGGTCAAGAAATCATACTGTTAGCCTAACAGTAATAGGATAATAAGAGCTGAGAAAAATTACAGAGCCATGGCATCATCTTAAGTCAAGGACTAAAGAACTTACCCAAAGATCTCTGTGGAAAGGAATCCATTTACCTTAACACTGAGAGTAAACCTGATCTACAAAACAATAAATAGGCATGAGATTTCACATGAGCCAAGACAGAGACTAAAAACTTCCATACCTAGTTCCTAAGGAAAAGGATATTTGTTACTTTTTAAAATTAATATTTTAATTGATAAATCCTAATTATATACAGTAGTAAATACAGTGTCATGTTTTGACAAATGTATACAACATAGAGTAATTAAACCATGCTGATTAACACATCTATCACTTGCTTTTTTGTGGTGAGACATTTACTCTTAGCTATTTTGAAATATTTGTTATTGACTATAATCATGCTGCTGTGTCATTGTATGCATTCGCCTTGACATGCCTCCAGTCATCTTGAGCTGTAATCGCTATGACCACCCCAGAGCAACCCTAGATGGCTTTTCCTGCATAGTTTCCTAACAAACTATAATAGATAAAATCATTAGTGTCATATGTGAAGCATTACTTATAACTGAACCCCACCCCATGGGTGTACCCGACAGTTCTATCTTAAGATGAACCACATACACTTTAGCTAGTATGAAGTCATTTTATCCTAACTGATAAATATTCCCCTTTTTCTGACTCAAAGTGCAGGGATCCAAATAGTGTTGCTGCCAAACAGAACAACACTTCTGTCATTAAGTCCTCCCAGTAAATTGCACTGCATGAAATCTTAGATCTCTCCCTTCTTCAGGTCTCATAGCAGCTTAGGGTCCTCATACAGTAGGACAAATTTTTCCAGAACAGCAGTAGATTCCCCAAAACTTACTCCTCCTGTCTAACTGAAATAAGTACCCACTGGCCCTATTCCTTTCCTCCTACTTTCCCTCAGCCCCTGGTAACCACTATTCTAGTCTCTATTTCTATGAATTCAGTTTAAGATTCCAGGTATAAGTGAGACCATGTGGTATTTGTCTTTCTGCGCCTGGATTATTTGAATGAATAAAGAAAATGTGTTATATATACACAATGGGGTATTATTCACTTTTAAAATGGAACCCCTATCATTTGCAACAACACAGATGAACCTGGAGAAAAAGGATGCTCTTTATTGCCTTTTTGCACTCACAGTTTCACCAAATATACTTAATACTTGCTTGTGTTCAAATTCCTACGCTGCAATTCCAGGTGGTCTCAATTATCAGGAAATCTTTGCCCCTTTGCTATTCATCCAACCTATCCCTTTTCCTCATTTAAAAATATCAAATTTTATTTCTATTATTTCCATATATGAACCATTCTGTGCTTTTTTTTTCGCTTTTCCTTCCCCATTTCTATCTAATTTATGTCCTCTCTCCAGTTTACATCACTGCTCTTATCATTCCCTAACTCAGTCTACATTTTTTTCTTTCTATATAATGGACTCTAGAGCCAGACTGCCTGGATTCAAATGCTGACTCTACAAGTTACTTAACTTCTGTACCATAGTTTTCTCAGCTATAATGGGGATGGTGATGACAAAACTCACTTCATGAGGGGTGATGTGAAGTTTAAGTGGAGGAGTATGTGCAGGTACTTAGAATAGTGACTAGAAAACAACAAAAATTTAACACTGCTGAAGACAGAAAAAGTGGAAAGACATGAGAAAAGGAGGAAATTATAAGTCACACTTAACTATGTTCACCTTTATAAATATATTTGACTGCAGGTAATAACAAAACATTTGTTCTTCAGTGTTTATTTTTATCCAAATTTCCTTATTTGCTTTAACAGTCAATTCAGAAAGAAAGAGACTATCTGTAAGGTTTATTATCTAAGTTTAACAGCAAAATGAATAACACAGGAGGGAAAAGTTGTATCTAAAGTAATACAAGCAGTTAAGGTGAAAATAAGAATGCAAAAGAAAGCTCTCTATATCCAGAACCTTCTCAGCTATGACACAAGAATATAGTTCTTGACTATATTCTGCCTCGATTAAAAATATAGTTCAGTGGTAGAGTGTGTGCTTAGCATGCACAAGGTCCTGGGTTCCATTCCCAACATGCACATGTGCACACATACATGCACACATACATACATACATACACACACATGCACAGAAAAAAAGGAAGGAAGGAAGGAAGAGGGAGAGAAAGAAAAGAATTGCCTGACAGGCACAGAAACTAAAAGTCAATCCAATATTTAAAGTGGGCTGGGGATTTAGCTCAGTGGTTCTGCCACCTGTCTTGCAAGCACAAGTTTCAATTCCCAGTATCAAAAATCAAAACAAAACAAAAACCAATATTAAAAGTAACCATTTTCCTTGAAAAAAGAAAAACAATCATATAACATTCCATGTCCTACAGAGTACAGGTCTCTTGGAAACATGACTAAACAAGAGAAACATCAGTGTACAAAAGAAGAACTTACCTTATGGTGTACTATGATGATTTTATGTAAAAATTGCTTAATAACCAGGCAATCTATCATCAAACCTCTGGGCTTTTCATTAATCTGTAACAACACAACAAAAACACCCATCACATATATGAGGTGTGATTGAAACATACAGTTAATGCTGAAAATTTAAAAAATCATTGCAGTAAAAGATACATTGCCTTAATCCTCTCATTGTTTTTGTCACCAAGTATCAAAAATACAGTGAATGCCACTGCTGAGTGCCATCCAGTGGAAAGATGTTTGTAAAAACATTACAGAGTGTCCACATCTACCTAGTTCACCAGATCTGGCACCACGACTTTGGCATTTCCCCAAAGTCAAAATGACAGTGAAAGGTAAATGTTTTGAATCAATTTAGGACATCAAGGCAACCATGACAGTGCAAGTAAAGACATTTATGAAAGAGTACTACTTCCAGAACTGCTTCAGAAAGTGCAAGATTGTTGGGATGGTGTGTTCAAAGCCTGATCAGGATGTTTTGAAGGAGATTAATAGCAATGTGGCTTTTTCTATAATAAATTCTTTTAAAAATTTAAATATTCACCATATTTTCATACTTTGTATGCAAACCCAAGCACAAAAATGAATGAAATATGGTATTTTTTCTTATAAAAGTAACTATACTTCATAGTTTTTTGGACATTCCAGAAGAAACATCTTTAAAAATGACAATTATACATAAAAAGCAATCTAAATAGCCATCACTTCCTGGGTTAGAGTACCTATTTCATGGAACTCCAGGAGACACATGAACCAAGATCAGTATAAATCCTACAATGTCAAAATCACCTTTTGGAACAAATTAAACACAGTGGTACTTCAGTTCACAAACATAATTCTTTCCTTAATTCTGGTTGAGAACTGAATCAAATTCAGTGGTTAAGGTTCAGTGTTAACCTTATGGGGAAATTTGATTTGTTTTTCATCCAATTCAGTTTGTGACCAGAAACATGGAAAGAATTAAATTCATGAACCAAGGTACCACTATAATTCAAATAAGTTCAGAAAAATAACTCAGTTTTGACTATCCTAATGAACTTTGAGAAAATTTATATTAAGAATCTGAGTGGAGTCAAAGTAAGACAATAAAAGGAACCTATTTTTGAACATCAATCCATTCCTCCAAGCATTTATCTATAAGAAAAAGCTATACAGCAGAAAGCTAAAAAATCAGAAGACCCGTGTTCCAGTACTAGCTTGTAAAAATTATTACTTAACATGGAAAAAAACTACTTCACTGCTCTAGACTTCATTTTCTAATCTGCAAAACAAGAAGATACTTACCATAGTGACTGGCAAACAATAAATATTTAACCATGTTTAAGATAGGAAAAGTAGGAAGGCAGCATGAGAAAAGGGGAAAGTTATACAACATATTTAACTGTATTAGTCTTTATAAACATATCTAACTATACACACAAACACGCAGTCTGTAAACAACAACAACAACAAAAAACTAGGCCAGGCATGGAGGCACACACCTTTAATCCCAGCACTTGGGTAAAGGCAGGAGGATAACTGTGAGTTTGAAGCCAGTCTAGGCTACATAGTAAATTCAATGCCAGCCTGAACTGCACAGTGAAAACCCTGACTAAAAAAAAAAGGATGATGTCTTTTCAACAGATCGCGTTACCCTTGTATGGGACATCCTAGAAGATATTGTATATCACAAAAAATCCACTACACTGCTGGCCCTTAGAGAAGAAACTGAAAATCTATGTGCGGCAATCTTTTTTTTTGTTTGTTTGTTTTTTTTTGGTATGAGGAATTGAACTTGGGCCCTTGTGCTTGAGAGGCAGTGAAACCACTGAGCCAAATCCCCAGCAGGTTTTTGTTTGGGTGGGGGGTACTGGAATCAAACTCAGGACCTTGTGCTTGTGAGGCAGGCGGCAGAACCACTGAGCCGTATCCCCAGTCCCTTATGTGCAGCAATCTCAATGATCAAGGTTGCCTGAAGAGCAGCAGTTCACCATACTAATAAATATTTGGAACCTAATGGGCTCTACTTTGAGCACCTCTTGTAATTGTAGAGGCCAAAGGTAACTTGTATTAATTTCATGATATCTCAATAAATTTAGTATTAATATATTTGTACATTTTTCTTTTTCTGAAGTGTGATATATATGCTTTATCTACCTTACAGAGTGTTTTTAAAGATTTTTATATCTGAAAGCACATATTATACATGGTACCACTAATAGATGCCACTTGTTGAATGCCTATGTGACAATCACCTGCATTGTGCAGCTGTCTCATTATCTCAGAACAACCCTATAAAGTAGATATATCCATCCCAAATTTGTAGATGAAAATATGGGGATGGACCTCAGAGAATACAGGCAACTTCTCTGGGTCAGTTCAGCTCTTCAGTGACAGAGACAGAACTTGAACTTGAGGGCTTGGGATTTGGCTCAGTGGTCCTGCTGCCGGCCTCTCAAGAACAAGGTCCTGAGTTCTGTCCCTGCTACAAAAAACAAAACAAAACAAAACAAACAAAACAAACAAAAAAACACCTTGACCCTAATTCTTTTTTTTTGGTGGGGGGGAACCAGGGATCAAACTCAGGTTGTGGTGCTGGCCAGTCAGAGGCTGTGCTGCTGAGTTACATTCCTAGGCCCTGACCCAAAGTCTTTTTAATACCAATTGCCCATGGCTTTTCCAATATTCTAGGGTACTTCCTTTTTTAATATTAGGACTACATCCCCAGCCCTTTTTTTATTTAAGTCTTGAGAAGAGTCTTTCGAAGTTACTCAAACTGGGCTCAAACTTGGGATCCTCCGGCTTCAACCTCCCAAAATGCTGGGAGTGTAAGAATGTGCCACTGTGCCCAGCTAAGACTTACCATTTAATAATGACTTTCTCTATTCTAGAAATGGTGCTATCTCATTTAACCTTCAAGAATTATTAAGTACATAAAACCCACATTTTATAATGAAAAAAAAGTTTCAAAGATGTTAAACAACTCACTCAAGGTTACCCAGGTTGACCTGGTTCCATTTGGTGGGGGGGAGACAGGGGATTGGACTCAGGACCTTGCACTTGTGAGACAGGAGGCGGCAGCACTGAGCTAAATCCCCGGCCCACCAGCTCTTTTTTTTTTTTTTTTTTTTTTTTTTTTTTAAGGGCCTTGAAAAGTCACTAAATTGTCCAGGCTGGACTTGAACTTGTGATCCTTCTGCCTCAACTTCCTAGAGTGCTGGGGTTACAGGTTACCACATCTCCAAATCTTGAGTATTAACCATTTATCTATATTGACTCACTAAATTTAATACAGTATACCTAAAACTAAAGTTAGAAACAGTCTCCTAGAAAAGTTAGTCCAAGAAAATGAAAGTAGAGTCAGAAATCGTTAAGTCCTTAGCAGCTCACACAGACCCAGCTACTGTGGGAGCCACTCATGGCCCACTGGCATTTGACATTTGAAAGATAACTTCTTTCTTTATAATCAAGGCATTGACACAATGTGTGGTCAGGATATTCCTAATTAGCATTTGTTAACATTTGTTCCTTTTTAAGGACTGCACATGATAAACTTGTTTTTGACCCTGCCATGGGAGAAACTCAAGAGATAGCCAAAGATCTGATGTTATCTGTAGGAGTCAGGTGCTTCCTGTTGCTGTGCCTTTAAAAGGAGCTGTTTCTGTTAAATAAATCAGACTTCTCTTGGTCTCCACTCAGGCTTGAGTGTTCTTTCCTTTCTCATTCCTCACTCCCCAACTCAGGCATGTTCATGTTGTGACGGCTGGACCGCCACAAGGTACTAGGCATGGTCTTAGGAGAAAAAATATGGATGTAGACCTCAAAAAGCTCATAACAAAATAAAGAAAAAACATGAAAATATCTAATCAAAGGACTGGGGTTTAGCTCAGTGGTGACACATCTGCTTCAGAAGTGCAAGGTCTCAGTACAGGGAGAAAAAAATCTAATAAAGAGTAATAAAGTATAATATTTTTATAAATTCAATAAAAAGGAAGTTAAGAACTGTGAAATATATGGGGACTATTAAAAAGGTACTGGGAAATATTATTAGATAAATAGCTAAAGGATTATAAGAAAAGTCTAAAAAGTCTAGGATTATTCATGGTTGTAAATAGTGAAAATTAAATAGCAATTGCCATATACTTATCAGTCATATATTTCATTTAAAAATTTTTTACTATGGAATGTTTAAATAATAGAAAAGCAATGGTCTCTTAAAAGTACTTTGTACTTGACATTTCCAAAACAACTTTTTGGAACAGTTACGAATCTCTGTAAAGCTTAGAGATTACAGGGTATATCATGCAGAGATCTAATCATATCTAACAGTAAAGCAACTAAATAAGAAAAGTTGGTTTTGTAGCTACCAGAAAGGGGCTACAATTATTGAACACTTGCTACACGTCAAGTAGTTTATGTGCAAACAGGAAATACCCGCATTGTAAAGAAAAGGATCAAAGACACACTAATTAATTTACCCAAGGTCACACACAACTAGTTAAGTACCAGCACTGGAATTCAAATCTATATCTCACTAACTCCAAAGTCCACAATCCATTATGTGATACTACCTCTCCCAGAATGTTCTTTTTTTGTTTGTTTGTTTTGGTACTGGGGATCAAACTCTGGTCCTTGAGCTTGCGAGACAGGCAGTGGAACCACTGAGCCAAATCCCTGGCTAGAATGTTCATTTCTGTGCATATAACTAGTTATCTGAATGGGTAATATAGGCCAGGTGTGGCTCAGTGGTAGAGCTCTTGCCTAGCATCACAAAGGTCCTGGGTTCAATACCCAGTACTACACAAAAAAAACAATCTTATTGTGCATGATATAATGTATAATCACCATTATTTTTTATGCTTATGTATGACCACTTAATACATGGATTTATTCATTCATAAAACACCTATGTTGCTTATTATGTATACCTGTGCTTTCAGAGATAAATAAGATAATCTCTGAACCAGAAGAGTTCACAGTTCAGTAGAAGAGAAAGACAATTCATATGACAGTGTGAAAAGTTTTATAATTTAGATATATGAGAAGCTAAAGAAATGCACAAGAAGGAGTGGCATCTAACTCAGACTGAGAATAAAGTGATCTTATGTCAGATCAGCAGAGCATAGAGCCCCTTTTAAGATCTATTCATATTAAGATACGTCATGTAAAGGTACAAGAACCCAACAATGAATGTAACTGTACTGTTTGCCTTAAATGTACCAATAAATTTAATGGGAAGAAAAAAATAAAAATAAAAAGATATATTCATAGACCAGAGGAAGAGGAGGAGAAAGAAAGAGAAGAAGGGAGAGAAGAAAAAGAGATAAAAAGACTATGAATGAGACTTACTGCTGTGTATTAGAAATTCAGTATGCTGGCCTCACACACCTTACAAAAGCAGTGAATTCAATTTTATGAAAAAATAAATTATTTCAGCTCTGAGCAGCAAAAAACAATATTGAATCAGGACAATGACCTTGACACATCACTTGCTATCACCTATTTCAGAATGGAACTGTCCCATTCTGGAAATTTTATATTAAATGCCCCACTCTCGTGTGAAAAGACATAAATGGGGGTATAAGTGTGAATTCCTTGATGGGCCAAATTATGTATGCTCTAAATCTTTGCTTTGCACACCTGTAAAAAGGTGTGCTTTGTATACCTGTCATGATCTATATCACACTATATTGTAATTATTTTTTTACACATCAGTCTTTCCTTTTACATTATGAGTTATTTAGAATTGATTAACATGACTTGGTACAAGTACAAGATGGTGCACACCTATAATCTCAGCACTCGGAAGGCTGAGGCAGGAGGATTGCTGTGAGTTTGAGATCAGCCTGGGCTACATAGTGAGTTCAAGGTTAGCCTGAACTACATAGCAAGACCCTGTTTCAAAACATAAATAAATACATACATACATTCATAAATGTTTTGGTCATACTTTGATTTTTTTCTGAGGGAAATATTTTTGCAATAAGGAAAAAAGAGAGAAACTTCATAACTCTGGCAACATCTTCCCCAATTTTCTTACATGTTTATACCCTTTATGCTCAGTAAATCTGCTTTTAAGTCTCATTGGGGCCACTAGACCTTGACCCCTTTCCACTGGTTTAGGTAACTCAGTGCTTACTTCTATCATGATCTATACCACAATATATTGTAATTATTTTTTACACATAAATCTTTCCTTTTACATTCTGAGCTTTTTGGAATTGATCAACATGACTTGGTACAAGTACAAGTATATAGCTCAGTGTAACTTACTTGAGCAGACACAGGTTTCTGAATTAGTAAGTATTCAAATAGCACTGACCTATATGAGTCACTTTGATTCAAGTTCTAACTTTTGTCACTTTACTTTTTTGTGTGATAGGAAAGTCACTCAAATTCTCTGAATCTCAGTTTTCTTATCTGTAACATGGGGTAATCCTTGTCCCATCTACTTCACAGTGTGAGGAGGATTAAATATTTACAAGTGTTAGGTATATAAATTATCGTTGTTTGTTCAGACTGGCTAAAATACATGACTTAATTCCTAAGAACTGCTTTCCTTGGTTCACTGGGATCACGTTTTTATTGCTACTTGACATTAGTAGTTTCAGAGCTGACTAACCATTGATTGCTCCACATTGTTTGTCTTCTAATCTCTGAAGGAAGATAAGGCACAGCTAGGGGTATCTGTTGTCCTATACTGTACTCATTCCTTTTAGAAGGAGCATATAATTACTGAAAAGTGGAGAAAGGCTTCCGAAGTGCTTACTGAGAGAAAGTTTAAAGCATTCTCATTCTTTGCATCTCTACCAACTCAGGAAGGAAAAACAGGAGATCAGAAAACTTTTAAAGAGAAGGAGAACACAACTGTCACTCTTATAAATCTGTACATCAAATACATCAATAGGGATCCCTAAACCAACAGAATAAAAATGTATCCAAACAGGATCTGCACTAGGAATCAATTTTATTTTCTTTACAGGAGATCCAAATTCAAATAAAGAATTATTTTAGTGGTTCCCAAGTTTATCTGCATATTAAGAATCACCTGAGATACAGAGGAAAGATAGCTTTTTAAATAAATGCTGTTGGGAAAACTGGATATCCACATGCAGAAGATTGACTCTAGATCCATATCTCTCACATGTAGTAAACTAAAATATAAATGGATCAAAGATCTAAATGTTCAAACACAAACACCTGATCTGCTGGAAGATAACATAAGTAAAATTCTTGAAGACATAGGCAAAGGCAAGGACTTTCTAAACAGATTGATAATATCAAATTAAAAAGCTTTCTGGGGCCCGGTATTTAGCTCAGTAGTCTGCCACCTGCTTCAAAAGTGCAAGGTCCTGAGTTCATTCCTGGTATCTGCCCCACCAAAAAAGCTTCTGCACAGGAAAAAAAAAAAAATCAACAGAATGAAGAGAAAATCTATAGAATGTGAAACTATTTTTGCCAGTTATTCCTCAAAGGATTAACATCTAGAATATATAAAGAACTCAAAAAAAATTAGACCCCCAAAATAAAAGGCTCAGTCAAAAAACAGACAACTGAAATGAATAGACACTTCTCAGAACAAGTACAAATGGCCAATAAACACATTAAAGAATGTTCAACATCACTGGCTATTAGAGAAACGCAAATTAAAACTACTTTGAGAGGGCCAGGGATTTAACTCAGTGGTGCTGCAGTTGCCTCAAAAGCACAAGGTCCTGAGGTTGATTCCTGGTCCAAAAACAAAAGAAAGAAAGAAAGAAAACTACATTGAGATACCATCTTACTCCCGAAAGAATTGGCTATCATAAAAAAATTAAAAATGACAATGCTGGAGACACTGATGGAGGGGGAGGAACCCTTCTACATTGCTGGTGGGAATGTTGACTAATACAACCAGTGGAAATCACTGTGGAGAATCCTTAAAAAATTAAATTAGAAATCCCATTTGACTCTGCTATACCCCTTCTAGGTATCTTCCTAAAAAGAGAAAGTCATCATATTACAAAGATACATGCATATCCATGTTTCTAGCAGCAAAATTTATAATAGCTAAATTGTATATATGTCCATCAAAAAATGGATAAAGAAAATGTGGTACAGTACTTATACACAATAGAGTACTATTTTGCCATAAAGAAAGGTAAACTTGAGGCATTTATAGGTAAATGAATGCAACTTGAGAACATGTTTAGTGAAATAAATCAGACACACAAGCTTAAATATCACATGGTTTCTCTTATATGAGAAACTCAAAATGTATATATAGAGGTAGGGAGAAATTCAAATAACTCCCCAAATTGCCTATTCTGTTCTTCAAAAATATTTAAGGATAAAATGCCAATTTGTTTCATTTATCTACTAGTTTCTTTTGTTCACTGAAAATAAAGTTTTGTCCTCTTGTTTGTTTCTTCTTTGTGAGAGAAAAATCTTTTTTAGTCTATGAAGTATACTCTAAGTATCATTATGGATATTCTTTTAAGAACATGAGCAAAGTATATTAACAACTGTTATTCTCCAATTATTCTGTCGTGAAATTTTATTTTTTCATGGAAGAATGTTTTTATATTTTCATTATTAATATCTACTTGTATTACATTAAAATAAAAAATTTTTGAAAAGGAATAAATTGGGATTTTAAAAATATTCGAAATCCTAAGCCACACCTGTTATGCACCAAATTGTGTTCCTCAAAATTCATATGTTGAAAACCAGGCATGGTGGGACACACTCAGAAGGCTGAGGCAGGAGGATTGTGAACTGAAGGCCAACCTGGACTATACAGTAAGACCCTGTCTCAAAAATATAAATAAATAAAGGATGAGGGATATAGCTCAGTGATAAAGCCCTGCATTCTATCCCAAGTACTGAAAAAAAATCATAAATTGAACTAACTCTCATTATGACTGTATTTGGAAGTATGGTATTAAGAAGGTAATTAAGGTGTCTCTTCTTACAAGGACATCAGAGAGCTCTCTCCACCCAGACACTGAAAGACATATAAAGACATAGTGACAGGGCAGCAGTCTGCGAGTCAGGAAGACAGGCCTTACCAGAAAGCAACCCAGATGCCACTTTATTGTTGTTGCTGCTGTTACTGAGACAGACTCACTATGTTGCCCAGGCTGGTCTTATATTCCTGGCCCAAGTGATTTTTTCACTTCAACCTCCTGAGTCTGGGAATATAGGTACAACTCAACACTCCTAGCCTTGATGGCACTTGGATCTTGGCCTTCTAGCCTCCAAAGCTGTGAGAATGTTAATTTCTGTTGTGTAAGCCACCAGGTCTATGGTATTTTGTTACGGCAGCCCAAGAAGAGTAATGCAGCTTCCTAGATTGATTAGATCACAATTCAATGGAATAGACACAGTACTTTTGGAAGCTCCTAGGTGACCTAATGTCTACATAGGCAAGTTTGGGAAGCAATGTTTATTATTTTACTTCAACTTGGAGCTGTGATGGAGGTAGGTTTTTCCTATTATTAGATGGGTAGAAAAATAAGAATCAAATCATCAGTAGGTTTATAAGAACAACAAAACTTGCCTCAAAAGTGATCTGGAAGGGTGTTACTCCTGATGTGCCCGGAAAACAGCTGTTTTCCTCTGAAGTACAAATCAGCTTTGCAGAGAATCCCCGCAGTATAGACTGTATTTCTATGTGAAAGAAATGACAACAAAGTAGCACAGGCAGTTTGGATAAGCACCAGAGACTCTGGAACTGTTTATTAAACTAATAAGCCAAGAAGGCTTTTACCTGATGAAAAGATAACCTGAAAAATGTAAAATACTACTGCAAACAGCTTTGCATCAGCAAATTGCTTGAACATTTAGAATTATTTTCTGGAGTTAAGACATTTAATCCCATGTTTTCATTTTTTCACATTTGCTAAAACAATTTGAATTTTCAGTTAATTTCCACAAGGTCATGCCCAATGCCTGAAATCTTCATAACTAGTAGCTCTAGATGAAAAGTCTTGCATTTTTAAATTAATCAGTTCATTACTTAATAAACACAAATCTAGTAAGTAAACTAATTTAGAGCTGAAAGTAGAAAAACCCAAGAATGACCATCTCAGGCATGTATCTAATATAGTGCATTTTTAAAATGAGGTAGTCTTTACCAACTCAAACTCTTGCCAATTTTATTTGTGAATCAACCACTTTGTGTATTCATATGTGTTGGTACAGAACTGTGTAGCTATAAAAACATCAGTGAAGCATGTGTTATTCACACCAAAGAGAACACCCAAGTATCCCCTTTCTTCTCCATCCCCTGGCACTTACACTATAAAGGCAAAAATCAAATCTCCTTATTCATAAAATGTTAGCCCTTATTTCTCCTCCACACTGGTGTAATAATGGAGAACTAAAAAAATAAAATAAAGATAACTAGCCAGTGTCTATAAGTTTTACTTTGTAAATTAAGTTGATAATGTTACTTTTTGGAGGGGTACCGAGGATTGATCTTGGGCCCTAGTGCTTGCAAGGCAGGCAGCGGAACCATTGAGCCAAATCACCGGCAACTATTTTTTATTAATACATGTTTGCAATATAGTTTGCATTCCTTGTGTGGAGTTGGTACATGTATATAACACATCTTAAAGCCTTTTTGTATTCCCTTTCTCTTTCCTTCCTTCCTCTTCCTTTCATCTCTTGGTCCCCTTCCCATTTGAGAAAGACCTACCTCTCTACTTCCTATTATCTTTTATTTTGCTCTTTATTTATAATTTGGATTTCTCATACAAGAAAAACCATGTGATACTATTTCACTTAACATTACAATCTCAAGGTACATCTATGTTCCTATAAATCACTTAAGTTTATCTTTCTCTATGGCAGAGTAGTATCCATTTTGTGTGAATACCTCTTTCTTTATCCTTCATCAGCTGATAGACATATAGGCTGCTTCAAAAATTTAGCTATTATGAAGTATGTTGCTACAAATGTAGGTATGCATATATCACTATTTAACTCTTTTGGGAAGATACTTACAAGGGAAATAGATGGGTCAAATGGAACTTCTAGTTTTAATTTTTTGAGAAATCTCCATACTGGTTTCCACAGTGGTTGTACTAGTTTACAGCCTCTCCAGCATTGTTATTATTATTATTTTTATGATGGCCATTCTTTCTGGGGTAAGATGGAATCTCAGTGATATTTTAATTTGCATCTTTCTAAATGGCCAGCAATGTTGAGCATTTATTTATATATTTCTTGGCAATTTGTACTTCTTCTCTGATATGACTACTCACTTCCCTTGCCCATTTTTGAATGAGTTATTTATTTTGGGGATCTGATTTTTTTAGTTCTTTATATATCATAGATATTAGTCCTCTAACACACAGCTGGCAAAACTTTTTTCCATTCTATAAGTTGTCTTTTCACTCTGTTGGTTTCTTTTGCTGTGTGAAAACTTTTTAATTTGATATGATCTCATTTGTTGATTCTTGGTACTATTTCCTGTGCAACTAGCATTCTGTTCAGAAAGTCCTTTCCTATGCCTATAACTTCAAGAATTTTACCTATTTTTTCTTCCAGCAGGTTAAGTATTTCTGTTTTAATATTTAGTTCTTTGATCTGTTCTGGTTTTAATTTAATATACAGTAAGAGATATGGGTCTAGATTCAATATTCCACGTGTGGATAACCAGTTTTCCCAACACTGTTTATTAAAGAGGCTATCTTTCCTCCAATGTATATTTTTGGCCCCTTTTATCAAATACCAAATGTTGGAATGTGCTTGGGGTTGTTTCTACATCCTCTCTTCTGTTCCACTGATCCTCATATCTGTTTTTGTGCCAGTACCATGCTGTTTTTATTTTTAAAATCCACTTTAAAAACCTAATAATGATAGGGCCAGGGATTTAGCTCAGTGGTTCTGGCACCTGCCTCGCAAGCACAAGGGCCTGAGTTTGATCCCTGATACACCCCCCAAAAAAACTAATAATGATAAACACAGTTTAAAATAACAACACAAGTATCTTCTAAGATGGCCATACTTATATATAATGTTTTAGTCAGCTCAAAAAAACGTATGGACATTTTCCAGATCAAGTACCAGCTATCAATCTTAATGGGTAGTATTTTTTTGCTATTAGTTTGTTTTAAAATCTCTAATTCAATCACAAAGCCCTAAATAATATTGCAGCAAGGTTATGCCACACTGAAGTTAAATCAATTTGGCACTGAATTAGGATGACTTGCATCAATCTTAAATTTTACAACTGACTAATTTCCTGACCTAAGGCAAGCCCCCTTTTTTCTGATTCAATTACCTTTTTGTGAAATAAGGAAAAAATGTTCCTGAATCCTACTTCTATTTGAATTAGTAAAACAGTATAGAATTGAGGGAAACGTGGATGAATGAGAAAAAAAGTTTATAAGTAACTGAATTCTTCATAAATCCCAATAATAATTTAAAGTAAATTATGTAATTATTTGGAGATCAATTTCAATAATCTCACTATAAACACCAAAAAAACAAAACAAGCAAATAAAAAATAGATGGATTGACTAGACTTAAATACAAAAGGTGAAATAAAAGAACTAAATGAAAACCTGTTTCAAAATAAATTGAACACATGTTGAAATCTCATCTGCTCCTTCAACTATATAAAGTGATAAAGATATTTTTAAATCTTAATAAAGACAATGGTAATAGTGAGAAAAATAAGAGAAATCCTATAGAACAGAAATGAAGAGGTATTTTTCTACCCATATTTGAAAAGAGCAACAAAAAAGAACAAGACAGTAAAATCCCTCACTGAAAGTTGGGCATAGTATACATGTCTCTATTCCCAGCACTCTGAGAGGCTAAGGCAGGAGGATCCCAAGTTTAAACCTGGCCTTTGCAACTTAGTGATTTAGTAAGACTCTGTCTCAAAATAAAAAATAAAATGTGCTAGGGATATAGCTCAGTTCAAAGGTCCTGGGTTCAATCTACAATAAAGAAAAGTAAAGGAGGGAGGGGAAGGAGAAAGGGAAAAAAGGAAGGAGGGAGAAAGTCAAGGAAGGAAAGGGGAAGGGAGAAAGGGAGAGAGGGGAGGGAGGGAGGAAGGGGAGGAGGAAAGGAGAATCCATCATGGTAGGAGTTAATATTGCAATATATGTTTAAAAGCAGCACAGACAACACATAGGAGGTCTAAGCAAAGGACCAACACATGAATGAAGGTCAGTGATATGTTGCCTGCACACCTGAGTACTGGCTAGAGCCCAGAGATACTGGTAGCAGTATCACCAATGTCGGATATATAGAACTGCATAGTTCATTAAGATGCAGGAGGTTTGCATCTTGCCACGCAAGTAAAATTTAATCCAAGATGTACCACACAGACAAGAGCTCAGCAATCCTGAGAACTTCCTATCATACAACTGTCAACATAGGATGGGCTCAGCTTAAACAGATCATGGACAATTATTGCTAAACTAAAAATTACATCTAAATTAAACTGAAAATTGAAGAATAATACCATAAAACTATTACATATGTCAAACAATTGCTCTTATAAGTAAGGAAATACAGTTAACAGGATAATCTGAGACAGGCTTTAAAATAAGTGTCTACATATATAATAATCTGAAAGTAAAGAGGAAAATCCTAATAGAAATCTTGGAAAGTAAATATATAGAATTTGAAATTTAAAATCCTATGGATATTTCACATGAATAAATTTAAAAGAAAGGACATAAATCTTCATAGAAGCATTATTCATAGTAGCCAAAAATGGAAACAATTCAAATACCCATGGAATGACGAAAGACTTAACAAAATGCAGAATATCATTTTGTCCATAAAAAGAAATTGTTTGTGCTTCAGCACAGGTGAACTTTAAAAACATCATGCTTAGTTAAATCAGCCAGATACGAAAGGCTGAAATGTGAAAATAAGCAAATCTATAGAGACAAAAAATAGACTAATATTTGCCAAGCCATAGGGGGTGAGGGAAGTACAGTGACTACTACTGAGTTCCTTTTTGGGTGATGAAATACAGTGGAACTAGATAGTAATGATCATTTTACAACCTTGTGAATATACTAAAACCCAGTGAATGAATACATTAAAATGTTGTGATATTACATGTGAATTCTGTGTCAAAAGGAAAAAAGTTAAAATGTATTAAGAATAGATTTAGAAGAAATACTAAGAATTATCATAAAGACAGATGCAAGTATTACCTGAAAAAGTTAATCAGGTATCAAGAAGTTTGAGTTTCTTTTCTAAAAAGTTAAAAAAAAAAAAAAAGCTACACAGTTAAACACATCACAATGAATCTCAAAATGACCACAATAAGGAAAAAACTCTAAAGCTACAAAACAATAAAATAACAATAGTCAAAAGAAATATGCATTAGATTTCTCATCAGCAATGCTAAATACCAGAAGGTGATATAGTATTACCTTCAAAAATTTGAAAAGGAACTTTGACACTGAACTTGTGTGTGTGGTGAGCTGAAGATCAAACCCAAGGACTTAATCGCTTCTCGGCCTTTTGGCTAAGATCAAGTGCAAAACCAAGAACTTGAACTGCTAGGCAATTGCTCTACCATAGTTACACACCAGCCCCGGGATCTAGAATTTTTATTTATTTATTTATTTATTTATTTTTTGGTACCGGGGATTGAACGTGGGTCCTTGTGCTTGTGAGGCAGGTGGCAG